TGATAAAAGTCTGTTGTAATAACTTGAAGTTGACGCGCTAGTGTAAAGTGGCCGACTCGCTTGGGTGGCCGACTCGCTTGTGAACCACGTTAGCTGAATGAATAATACACTTCTCGCTACACTATTTTGCTGTGGATTGAGTGGCAAACTACCAAAACAGGGATAGCGTTATGAAGTGCATTGTTTATTTGGGTTAAGGGGTGGTGGAGTACTCGGCAATCTTCGGAACGTATAGTATCAGGCAAGATTAAGAATGTGGAGTACCCCGCAAACTTAAAGGAAGGGACTAACCGCTCCGATGTACATCTCACCTTTAATAACTTTGCCTCCGACACGTCTGCATGGTCTACGCGAGGATGCACAATATTCCATCTCTACCGCACCCCAACAATGGCTCCGAGGATGGCCTTGACTGGGCATGTAGGTATGTGGCTTTCAAGAAGACTCCCTCTACTACCTAATCCAAGAACAACTACATATCTTAACCTGGACAGGAGATCCCCAAGAGCTTGCCGCCTGTGCAGGAAGAAGAAAGTTCGTTGTAATTCCCTCTACCTTTAGTCCAGCCAGATTGCTGTGCTCATGATACTGTGCTATTTGCAGGCGATGGAGCGCAACCGGCGTGTGCACAATGTGCCGCCCATCGGAGTCAATGTGTCTATTTGCCACGCGCGGTCCGAAATCCACAGTCGCGACCTCGTCGCTCTAAGCAATCCAGTCGAGGTGGCTGTTCGCGTAACAATGAAGGTGATCAAAGCCTGGCACCTTCAAGTGTTGTGGCAACTGCTGGGGACAGACTACTTCCAACCCCTTCACAAGCAACGGCACCGACATTAGGTATGTCGATATGCCTGTGAATTATGTCTTGGATTTAGAGATTAATTTAAAGCCAACCAAGAACTTCCGGTTTCACTTGAGCCCTCGATACCATCAACTATGCATCATCCTATAGGGCCAGACACACAGCAAGCACGGTATCATGAGGGTGAGACGGCCACGTTGGATATTGTACCACACCTTGTAGGGAATGGCGATGCAGATATTCTGGGCCTCTCATTACAAAGGTTCACAGATTTTCCTGTGGACACCCCATTTTTGGACAATGCGTTCCATTCTTGTAATCTTCCACCTGATTTCATCGTTCAGGAAGGCTTGCATGATACGGTACCTACCAAAACACCCGATTACAACGATCCTATGAGTGATATTATGTTCCGGGCTTGCACAACGCTTGATAACGATAGCACCTCAATAGAACTGAGCCCAGAGAATACGTCATCAGTTTCTGAGCAACCAGTTGTTGGTGGATCTAATGACGTGTTCCTTGCCCATACTGCGCAATCGTCTCCAGAGCAATCCGGGAGTCAAAACAATAGCGGATGGCAGGAGGATATTGAAGAAGACGACTTAAGCCACCTTCTTCTACAATCGGCTTCCGGTTTTATAAACTATTTGGGCAAGTTCCACCTTTCCAACTTTGGGACCAGAGAATAACTAACTTAAATTTTGTAGGTCCGAACTTTATGGTGCGTTACAGTCTCGATTCTGTGGCTGCCAGCTGCTGAATCTGCCGCTAATTCGTCGTCTCAAGTCGATTCCTGGCACGGAGCTAGGTCGAAAATTTATAAGCGACGTGACTGGGTCGACGTACTTTTCAGATCATATAACAGCTTTCCTCGAGAATTGGTCTCCCAGTACTCCGAATATCAGTGAACATAGCACATACGATAAATCTCGTTTGCCATCTTACGAAGTTGCACAATCTTGGATCGACGGTAGGAATTATGGACTATGCTGAAGAACTTACTCAGAACATATGCTAACTGATGAGTAGCTTACTTCGATTCAGTCCAATGGTATTTAGAGAGCTCTTAATTGAGGCACTTACACTGATTAACATGGTAGTACTTATCCTATACTCGACAAGTCAAGCTTCATGGCCGAGTTCTATAGGACTTACGAATATCTTTCTCCGGAAACTGATCCTGTATGGTGCGCAGTGGTTAACACTATCCTTGCCACAGGCTACCGTGCTAATCCTAGCTCGGGCGGGGGTCAATATTGTAACCTTTTTACTAATGCTCTAGGTCTCTTTGATAGAGTCGCGCTATCGATGTGTTCACTCCAAAAAGTTCAAACTTTAATGCTCATAATAGCAAGTGACCATCTCACTATGTGTGGATATCCACTGACGCAAACAGTATCTTTTTGTGAGCTCTAATTGCTTACCACACTGGGGATATACAGTCCTAGCTTTGGCGGTCAAGGAGGCTCAAGCCATTGGACTCCGAACAAGCCCTTAGCCGGCAATTCGGAACAGGCAACGGGTAGATCGATGTAGGGTAAAGCGTTATGTTCAGACATTACTAGTATTCATTCAGATTATACCGGGAACTCGGGTACCGTACAGTGTCCTCTGTTAGTTCATTGAAACAGGTATAAATAAGCAATGTCTTCATGTTGAACAATCATATCAGGATCTCCGACAAAGATTCTTCGACTACACAATCTCCACTATCTGTATTGGATTATCTTTTATCTTATTCCAATTGTTACCTTGCCTTACTTATGGCGTTTCTTCGATCATGGCTGTGACCAAAGCCGCAAATGCTATCGATGGCTCAACCATACGCCCTTCAGAACTTGACGAGATACAAAAGCGATATAAAAGCGAACGCGAAAAGCGGCTTCTTACCGATGGCCGGGCACAATTCCTCGACCATGAGACAGTGGACAAGTTTGCCAAGGCTATCCATAATGCATGGCCAGATCCAGTGTACGACAACATGAAGCCTACCCTCGGAGATGGCTCACGATGTGAATTTCAGTTTGTTGGGGCCGGATACGGGTCTCTTACATCTGCAGTCCGGTTGCTGGATGCTGGAGTGGCTCCCGAGGATATCAGATTTGTTGATACGGCTGGAGGATTTGGCGGGACTTGGTGGCTGAACCGTTATCCCGGACTCATGTGCGACGTTGAGAGCTACATGTATATGCCGCTGGTCGAAGAGACGGGCTATATGCCGAAGCGCAAGTACTTGTACGGCCCCAAGCTGCGAGAACAAGCCGAAAGGGTCGCGAAAAAATGGGGACTTTTCGAGAATGGATTGTTCCGTGTCAAGGCTATGAGTATGACCTTTGATGAGGACAAGGGAGAGTGGGTTACCAAACTCGAAAGTCCTAGAGCTGGAGAAGAGAGCAAGCAAACCACAGTCCGCTCCAGGTTTGCTTTTATAAATACTGAAGTACTGAACTGGCCCAAAATCCCTCGGGTACCCGGAGTCAACAGCTACAAGGGCCATGTGTTCCACACTTCCGTCTGGGATTACGAATATACGGGAGGCTCAGAGCGGGACCCGCGCCTGACGAATCTCCGAGACAAGAAAGTAGGCATCGTTGGTACTGGTGCTACAGCCATCCAGGTAGTACCTCATTTAGCAGAATGGGCGAAAGAGCTTTACGTTTTTCAGCGTACTGCATCTGCAGTAGACACCAGAGGGCAGCGTGAAACGGACCCGGAGTGGTGGAAAGAGTATGCTTCTAAGCCGGGATGGCAGAGAGAGAGGAGATTGAATCACGGCAAATTTAATCACAATGAGTATCCTCGACCGGCTGTTGATTTAGTTGATGACCAGTGGTCCACGGTTCCAAGCTACTCGGGGCTTATTGGCAGTCCCAATGCGCCCAAGTCGCCAGAAGAGATTCCACCATATCTGGAAAAGCTTCAAAAGATGGATCTCATCCTTCAGAAGCGAGTGCATGCCTGTGTCGACGAGATTATCAAGGACAAAGCCACCGCCGAATCCCTAAAGGCATGGTACCCAGGTTGGTGCAAGCGCCCGTGCTTCCACGACGACTATCTTCCCAGTTTCAACCAGGAGAATGTGACTCTCGTGGATACAGATGGAAAAGGCATTGAAGAGCTCACCGAAAAGGGCATTGTCGCGCTCGGTAAAGAATACGATCTCGACGTCATCATATGGAGCACTGGCTATGAGATCTTTCTTCCAGACAGTCCAGGCAAAAAAGCACGTATTAACGTTACGGGTCGAAACGGCCGCAGTTTGGATGAAAAGTGGGATGAGAAGATTTCCACGTTATATGGCGTCCAGACCAATGGCTTCCCAACTTGTTTTGGCTGGGTCTGACCCAATCTGGGGTAACTTCAAACTAGAGCTTCTCGATAGATGAGTTGAGCCTGCTCATATTTCGTATCTTTAAGGCGATGATCAAAAAGGCTCAAGGCGAAAAGCGCGCTCCATTGGACCCTTCCAACAAATATCCGTTTATTGTCGAGGCAACTGTTGATGCGGAAGAGGGTTGAGCTAAGGAAGTCGTGTCCCGTTCTGGTGCTCTAACGAGTCTCTCCCTCTGCCCTCTAGGTTATTTCAATGGCGAGGGAGAGTCACTTGCAGTTTTTCAGATGGATGAAGCAGCAAGACAGAAAGCCGCTCGTGGTTTAACCTGGGACACTGGGTTTGTTGACCGGCTCAAGACCATCGATAAGTGGACTGCGAAAGATCCTTTGTCTGGTATCCATTTCAAGTTTGCGATGTCATGAGTTGGCAAATGTTTCAGTGGTTATATTGGCTTCTAGCACATAGTTTAGTTTCACATGATTGATTATATGAATTGCACATCACGGACTTTCTGATAACATCAAATCACTACCTGTGTGAAGATCCCTGCCAACTCTTGCTCGCTTAATCAAGAGCGTATGAGACATTCTCTTGTCGGGGATTTCCTACACTTGTACTATCAAAAGTGCAAATCTTCTAGATAAAGTGGCATTTTATTGTCGAAGTTTTTGTTAAAACACCATCGTAGGTCTATTGTACTACATATGACATGGATTTAGAGCCTTATTTATTCTTGCCTGCTTACAGACTTTAAATAGCTCGAAAAGATCTAAGATCATAAGAGCGGGCCATTGTTTCCAAAAATCTACTAAGCTTACTCTCTAGGTCTTGATTACAGAATTCTATATCTCTGAGTCCGAACCTTAACGCCAGCTACGACCAGAACTATAGAGAGTAACAAGTTAGCTTGGAAGTATCATTATAGGCTAATCATCCTTTCGGTTAGTTCTTGAGCGTTGTCTAGGTACACCCACATCCTCGGGGCGTTACCGCTTGTCAGACAAAAGGTCCGATGGAACAATGGCCTGATCTTACGTCGATGTTGCGATGACCCATGCGCGTATAGATGTCTCTCGCTGCAGTCTATTGGAGGAAAAGCCAACCATCAAAAAAGACCCATCAAATCTGACAGCGGCATAATACGGAATCTTCCAAACGGCTGAGATCCAGTTAGATGTGGGGCGGAGAGAATATCGAGATGCAGTTCACTGGTAAGATAAGTACTTGAATAATCCCATTGAAGGCCGCTCAAAGAGTAAGGTTTTATTATTCCACGCTTCTGGAGTTGCTCCTTGTATCATGATGTTGCCATCTCTACTCCTCTGCCTCCTATTTGGCTTCTCCGTTGCTGGAGATTCTGTAACTTCCGAACATCCCGACGTTGATCTCTACTTCCACTCCGACGAGGTCGCTCATCACATCCGTAACCAAGACGGTGAGCATGCACTCCTACAAGCGACAATGAGGCGAATAGACGACCATTTCCGCGCCAACGAGACAATCCACGAGTTACTCACCCGCGATGTACAAAACAAGGAAATCAATGGTCGAGCCACAGTTTTCTATAAGCCGAATTTGAACGCTGTGTGTACGCAGAACGGGCAAGTACGGGCGCATCCCTACTCAACCCGGAATGTATGTGTCAGTGGAAGGCAATTCAGCGTAGACTGCGAAGCGGATGCCGAAGGCGACCATATCGTCACAGTACATGGTTACTGCCAGACCGACTACTTCTGCGTTACGGTGCTCAGAGACTCGCTTCATATCGTTGACCCAGACAATCTACAGTTCGGCCAAGCCGCGGAGCCAATCTGTCAAAAACGCTTGTATTTCCGACCCTTCCAGATCAAGAAAACAGCTGTAGAATTCATGACCGACTGGTGGACTGCGCCTGGCAAGTTCAAAGTCGCCTTTGGCCGCATGGCTGTCCTCGGTGACACGGCTGGTGTTTCGTACAAACTCAAATTCGAATGGAAGCATGTAAAGTCGACTTTGTGGAATGTTGCTGGAATTAAAAGTATCGAGTCGGAAAATAGCGGTGCAGACCACGAGTATGAATTGTCTTACAATTATAATGGCGCGGATGATTATCAGTTTCGAGCGGTTACTGAAGGGCTAGACGAGGTTGCTCCTAGCAAGAATCTTGTACTCAATGCTTATTTTGGAGCCGCATCTTAAAACGACGTCAATGTAGTTGGTTAGCAATGGAGCTTCATAACAAGATGACGAACATCATATGTTGCGATAAGCAGAGTTCGCAACAAGTAAGTAACTTGGAAGCCTTGCTTGCTTAACTTGGTGCCAAGCCAATTCAAGTAAGTC